GCATCCAATACACTGAATCTTCCTTCAGAGGTAAGACTTTAATAGCAACACTGTAAATATTTGGTTTATTTGGCACTACTATAAGTTCTGCTTTTACACAAAGTTCTTTGCTTATTATAAAGCAAAATAAAAACTGTAGTTTCTTGTATGATTTTTTTTACTCAGTCATTCCTTAATTAAACTGCCAAAAATTAAAGTGCAATATTGTATATTTTTAAGGACAAATTTAAATATTATGCTGATGTTTATTGGATCACAAGAAATACAAATCTTATAGTATAATAAAACTAGCAAAAAGATTAATAAGCATCTAATTCCTGTCATTATTTTAAATTGGTGATGGTTTATAAAAGTCATTACAAAATGAATTATTTGTGTATGTGAGGGATAAATGTATAAAACTTTGGACAGACATAAAAATTAGATTATCTAGATTATCAGAGGCTTACATATTATTCAGGGAATAAACATCTCCCAAGTTTCAAGTTTATTTTTTCTTTCAGAGCATGCTGTCTTTTAGAAAAAAAAAATGCGTGCCCTTTGAATAGTTGAACCATTTTATGGATATTTCCAAAATAAATTCAAAGGTCTAAATGAAGAATCCCTAACATTCTTCATGTTATCTCTTATTTTATTATGTATGGTACAGTGAAGAGCTTCCCAGCCATTGTTACATCATAGTACACACTAAAATTGACAAGTCTTGGGCATAACTGGAGGTGAGATGCTAAATGATGTAGATAGAGACTGGAAGCAGTATCTCCATTCAAAATTTTTATATGCCAGAATAATTTTTGAACTTAGGATATTTACAGAGAGATCCAACAGACACTGTTTGGGTATAATTGTAGCAATGGTAAACATTTAAAAGGTGGCTCTGTTGTATATATTTTACCACAGTTTAAAAAAAAAAAAACACCTATACCCATTATTAGTCATTCTCCATTTCCCCTCAAGTCCAAGTAACTAATCTACTTTCTGTACAGGTTTGCCTGTTTTAGGCATTTCCTATAAATGGAATCATACAATATTTGGTCTTTTATGTCTGGCTTCTTTCACTTTGCATAGTGTTTTCAAGGCTCATCCATGTCGAAGCATGTATTAGTACCCCATTCTTTTTTAAGGCCAAATAACATTCCATTGTAGGGATATACCACATTTTATTTTTCCGTTTATCAGTTGGTTCCGCTTTTTGGCTATGAACATTCATGTGTTAAGTTTTTCTGTGAACATACGGTTTTTTGTTTGGGGTTTTTTTGTTTTTAAGCCGGAAGGTCTCGCATTTATTACTGAACCAACCTACTGGTGCAGAGGCATAGTAACAGAAAAATCATTCCCCTGATAAAACCTATCTATTGGCCAGGTAGGAAGGATGTCTACAGAGTGATAGGATAGAACACAGGATCTTCACGTAGTTTAAGTATGTGGTGCCAATTAGGTGTGTCTTCTCATGATGTGTGATGCCTTATACACCCAGCTCCGTTCTTCTCCAGTGCCTCCTCTTGGGAGTTGTACCTGATATTATTACCAGTTTTCATCCGAATCCACTGGGGAATGGGACGATTCTGGTTTTGTTTCTTGGCCAGGAATCGCCTGATTCTGAAAGTCTTGTGAGAAAACACGGCCAGACACTGCCAGACCAATTTGAACATATGTTTTAAATCCCCCCATTATATATGTATAATAGATAATGTGTGGCATGGACTTGCTGGATCATAAAGTAACTCCACCTTTGAAGTAGTCCAAAATGTTTTCCAGCTTGATTACACCATTTTGCCTTCCCAGCAGGAGAGTATTCAAATAAAATAAAAACAAAAACCAAGGAGACACTTTGCCTGTGAAAACAACAAAAAACAAAGATTTGTTTCTATTCTTGTCCCTCTTCTTTGCCTTACAGTGAAGGTGCAACGTTGATTTAATTAAAGAGGGAGGAGGAAGAGTCTGGGTACCCTCCCTGATGAGGGGTGGGGCGGGGTCCCGGCAGCCTGCGCGTCACCAACGGTTGCAAGGTGTGCGCATGCGTGGGAGTTCTCCTTGGGTGTTGGGCTGAAGAGAGCGCTCCCTTGGCCGGCCTCGGTGGGTCGGGGTTCCGGGTCGCAGAGGCTGCGGATGGCGCGGTGGAAGAGGTTCTAGATCCCAGGGTGTGAGGTCAGATTCGCTTTTATCCGCTTTGTTTGTGAGGTGTTTTTCTGCGACAGGGTGAGAAGACGCGACTCGCGGCTGTTCCAAGTGAACGAACACACTTGAATTCTTTAGAGTATGGGAACACTTGTAGAATTTTATCCCCGTTCTCTTATTTAATGCCTTTCCACAGGCTTCCATGTCGTGACTCCCCTTTCCCTTTCTCAAAAGTGAATCTACTCCCAAGACCTCTGTTTTACATAGGTACTCTGGAGCTTTATCTCTCGCCGCCTTTCCTTTTCTTTTCTTTTCTTTTCTTTCTCTCTCTCTCTTTCTCTTTTTCTTTCTTTCTTTCTTTTCTTTTCTTTCTCTCTCTCTTTCTCTTCTTTCTTTCTTTCTCTCTCTCTTTATTTCTCTCTTTCTTTCTCTTTCTCTCTCTCTCTCTCTCTCTCTCTCTCTGCTGGACTCCAAGAGCCCATCGGGGTTACGGTCTCACAAGTGAACTTTACAGGATTTTCCTACGCTTCTCCGGAGTTCCATACTTCCATTAGAGCATCATCATCCACACACCGCCATCCTGAACACATTTACAGTCTGGTCACCATGTCCAGCATGAAAACTTTAAAAATCTAGAATCCGTCGGCTCTCCTTCATTTCATTCCAGCTGTGCAGGGAACCCGACATGGGGCTGGATTCCAGAATGCTGGGATCGTGATGTGAGCCCAACTAAGGCAGACATTTAACCGACTGAGCCACACAGGTGTCCCCCTTGTTAAAACCTCTGATGGCTTTTCTTTGCCTATCTATATAATCATCATGGACTTCAAACACATTAATAATCTGATTGAGACTCACCCATTTCATTACCAATAGCCTCCCTTCATTCAGCCCCAGAAAACTTACGTTCAAATGAAGCACAGATGTCCTGAACACAAAATACACTTTAAGATCATTGTACTATCACCACTGAAAAACTCTGAACTTTCCCTCCTGTGTAATAGCAAAAGAACAGTCTCAGTTAACTTTTATTTGGAAAGTAGCCTGAATACAAAGTAGTAAGCACATGGATTCAATAGTGTAGGTCTGAAAATCGGGGTAACAAGGGGTTACCCTATCTTTAGAAAAATCCTCCTGTCTTTTCATCTCTTCCAGTTAGTGAAATCTTTATCAAAGTAGAATTCATTGCTTTTTCTCTTGACCCATTGTATTAAGTCAGAATGTCTTAAAACAATAGAAAATATTATGACCCAACACAAGGATGATGTCATTTTGTGAACTATTTAATATATCCTGTTCCTTTTGTGCACCTTAGTACATTAATATTTTTTAAGATCTTATTTATTTAGGGGCGCCTGGGTGGCTCAGTGGGTTAAAGCCACTGCCTTCGGCTCAGGTCATGATCCCAGGGTCCTGGGATTGAGCCCCAAAGGCGGGCTTCCTGCTCAGCAGGGAGCCTGCTTCCTGCTTCTCTCTCTGCCTGCCTCTCTGCCTACTTGTGATCTCTGCCTGTCAAATAAATAAATAAAATCTTGACAGGCAGAGATCACAAGTAGGCAGAGAGGCAGGCAGAGAGAGAGGAGGAAGCAGGCTCCCTGCTGAGCAGAGAGGCTGATCTGGGGCTCAGTCCCTCGACCCTGAGACCATGATCTGAGCTGAATGCAGAGGCTTAACCCACAGAGCCACCCAGGCACCCCAGTACATTAATATTTTTATAGCAAGTAAATTTATAGCAAGTAAATTTATGTCCTGTAAGTTTTTTACGTATTTCTCAACCCTCACTGTACTCTTTGTGAACAATAGAAATCATATTTTATTTATCTTTGTATCCCTATTGTCTAGGACAGTCTGATATCCGAGAAATAGTAAATGTCCAATAAATATTTGATAATGAATAAATGTGATGGTTATCATTTCTGAGTTCTCTAAATTGGCAGATCCTTGAAGGCAAGATCCAGTTTTAATCATTTCATCCTTAACGCCTAATACAGTTATTGATATATATTGTTTCCAATTACTGTTGGCTGTCTTTAAATGAAGAATTTTTTATAAAAGATTTTATGTATTTATTTTTCGGGGGGGAGCACAAGTAGGCAGAGCAGTAGACAGAGGGAGAGGGAGAAGCAGGTTCCCCGCTGAGCAGGGAGCCTGTGTGGCATTCAATCTCAGGATCCTGAGAACGTGACCCGAGCTGAAGTCAGATGCTTAACCGACTGAGCCACCCAGATGTCCCTTTAAATGACTTTTGCATATTCTGTTCTCATTACCAGGGTTTAATGTTTTATGCTGGTCACTAATATAAGATTTAAAGCCAGAAGAGGCTTTATCATCTAATACAACCCCTTTGTTTTCTACAGATGAAGATAACTGAGCCAAGAGAGGTTAGGTGATTCCCCCACAGCAACTAGGAAAAGCTGTATCTAAAACTAAGTTTTCAGATTTTTTAGGTCAACTACATTTTACTTTGAATTTTTGAAACAACTTTTACCACTTTAATTTTGTAAGCAACCCTGCAAGGGGACCTCATGATGTAATATTATTTCAACAAGCATTTTTTGGAAACACCTACTCTGTAAAGAGACAGTTGAGGCTCCTGTTCTTAGATTTGCAATCTTGTGGAGAATCTGCTGACCTACTATTGATAAAAAATGTTATTTGGAAAAAAAAAAAGTTTTGTTTCCTTTTGGGTAGGAACTTAAGTTGGAAATTTTACTTCATTTCATTTCACTCTCAATTTTAAGTTGAACAGTTTGTAAGGTTTTATTAGAGATTGTGAAGTGTAAATTCTAATTTATTTGATTTCCAGGTATTCTCATCTTTTTTGTGTGTTTCACCATCTGTAGTCTTTACCAGCAACTGTGGTTTAACCAATTAGTAATAGAGAAGAATCATTAACTAGGAGAATATGTCAAATTTGAAAATGAAAGAGGCAGCCCTTATCTACCTTGACAGAAGTGGAGGCCTCCAAAAGTTTATAGATGATTGCAAATACTTCAATGGTATGTTCAGCAAAGGTGACTTTATATTTTAGAAACTTTAAAATAAATTCCTACATGTTACTATCCTCATTTTTATATTTGTGTATTTTTACAGATTCAAAACAAAGTTATGCTGTCTATCGATTTAATATTTTAGTAAATCCCTCTGATATTGTTGAATTGGATGCTGAACTTGGAAATCATATTTTACACGAGCCTTTAAAAGCTGCTCAAGTTTTTCAATCAGTAAGTTAAAGAAAAATAATTTCATGCCACATGGAATTTTTGGTAACTTTGTTTGTTTGAAATCACAGGTCTGTTTTACTGCTGTTAAGACTCTCTCATTAATTGGACAATTACAGACTGAAACTCAAGTAAGTTTTACTTAAATTTAACAAGAAAACTAGGATAAAAAGCTTTGAAGATTACTTGTAAATAAATCTTTTTTTATTCATGTTTTTATTTAAAAAGATACTACATTTTTTCAAAGTTCAATAGAATATCTTAAATACACATCTTTACTTCCTGTATTATCATTTATAACAGTGAACATTTTTATAATAAAACATTCTAAACATACCCCAAAATAAAGAGAATATGTATCATTCAGATCTAATAGTTTATAATATTTTGCCATTACCTGCATCATCCATTTTTTACCAAAATATTTTAAGACAAATCCCAGACATCTTAATGGTACTACTACATCCTTTAGTATCAACCTCTAAAAGTTGTGGACATTTTTCTTACACAACCACAATGCCATTATGACCCTTTACAAAATAACAATTTTTGATATCCTCTAATACCCAATCCATATTTAAATGTGCCTATTTGGGCTCTCAAGAGTATTTCACAATTGATTTGTTCAAATCAGGATCAAAACAAGGTTTATATATTATAATTGGTTATTGTATCTCATTAAACCTCTTTTAATCTAGAGCAGTTTCCTCCCTCTTTCTTTTTATACCACTAAATTTTTGAAGAAACTAGTTAATTGTCCTGTACAATGTTTGGATTTGTCTGATTTTGTTCTTATGGTATTTCTTCCATATGCCATATTTCTGGAAAATAGAATTGGCTCTAAAAACTTGCTTAAATTCAGATTCAACTCATTTTGACAAGAATACATCATACTTATTGTCATGTATTTCATACTGCACTGCATTAGGAGAAATAAACTGTTTTCCACTTTTAGTAACCGCACAATTGATCAGTGGGTTCTGGTAATGCCAGTCTGACCTCTTCAATATACACTCTCCCATCAACTTTCACGTAATAGTTTTTGCAGCCATTGATGACCATTACATAGAATCTATTATTTCATTAGAAGTTGTAAAATTGTGATTTTTCTAATTTTAGCAACCTTTTGAATTTATTAACTGAAATTGTTCTATAACAGGAGTTTTCTCTCATCAACTATTTGGTTACCCTAAAATACAATTTGTACCTGAAGGGCAGAGTAAATGGTTGATTCTTTCCATTTATAAATTTTCAATTTATATGAATAGAATAGAATTTATATGAATAGAGTAATGAATAGAATAGAATAGAATAGAATAGAATAATGAACTGAAATCTGAGAGCCTCCAATGATGACCAATACTTTTTTTGGTTTCATTTATACTTTTTTTTTTTAGGAACTCATGAATTTAAAAATATATACAATATATTTCAATGAATCTTTGTCATTCTTTTTGATGTATGTTATTGTGCTTTTGGTCCATTGGGAGTCCCATAAGATTTGTGTTTGTGTCCTTTTGACACATCCCATGTTTTAGTTTTTGTAGCTACCTTGATTTCTGGCACAAAGTGGTGCAACAGGTCTGTGTTTTCCTTCCCAGACCTGTAGTCAGCCATTTCCCTTAAGCAGCCTTGGTTCTTTTTGGTGAGAAATAATATTTAAGAAATCACAATCTGGGTACTGGAAGGGTTCATTGCTATTGGATCCTCATTGTTTTATAGGTCTTTTCAGTGGATATAGCCAGGAAATTGCGCTTTTAAGGAAAAATTCTTAGTTCATAATAATATTTGCAATTAAAATATAAGATTTAGGGGTTTGCATATTTAATTTTATATTTAAATCTTTTGTCTTATGCTTAAATTTTGATTCCTGATAACACTAACAAATTATTTACCTGATTTACTCTACAAATATACTTACTATAGTGTAATGCAAGTCCAAATGAATCTGTAATTTTTAATACCATTTTTACATTTCTATTAGATTAATATAGTGCTGAAGTTAACACATTTACCTTCTCTGCGAAGTTATATTCTTGATCTTTGTGAGTTTCCACTTGATTATGCATCTCAAAGATTTTATATGATGCAAGGAATTGTGATTGCAATGACAACTGTAACCAAGTATACACAAGGTGCAAGATTTCTTTGTTCAGATGAAGCATGCCCTCTTTCAAAAGGTAGATATAAAAATGTAAAACAATTTATTGTTTAATCCTAAATCATGTTTACCATTAGTTTTATGAAACATGGAGTAGAAAGAATGGAATAAAACTTGATGTTTCATGTATACAAGTTTACTTTGCATAATCCTCAGGTGCATTCTTTTCTTTCCCTTCTCTCTCCCACAATATAAGAGGTGCTCTTGGATTTTTGAAGTGCTTCTTCTCATACACTGTTCCATGACTGTTCGTGCTGTTTCCTCTCCCTGTAATGTCCTCTCTCAAACCTTTGGCTTATCGTCAGTTCAGTACTTCTCAGGACATCTTTTCCATTCATCTCCACTTCTCATTGGGTTGGATGTCATGCCTCCTCTCTTCTCTCTGAACCCTCTAAATGAATACCATATATTGAAATTATCTGTTTCTTATTGCTGCCTTTTGAAACTCTGTTTAAGGATCTATATCAAGAGTGCCTTGGGGCTCCTGGGTGGCTCAGTCATTAAGCGTCTGCCTTTGGTTCAGGTCATGATCCCAGGGTCCTGGGATCAAGAGCAGCACCGCATCGGGCTCCCTGCTCAGCTGGGAGCCTGCTTCTCCCTCTCCCACTCCCTCTGCTTGTATTCCCTTTCTCTCTGTGTCTCCATCAAATAAATAAATAAAATCTTAAAGAAAAACAAAAAGAGTGCCTTAGCATAGTGTCTGGCAAGAAATAGCCATGCAATAAATGTTAATTGACTGCTCTGACCCACATGCAGAAGTGAATTAATTATACCTTGAATTAGAATAATTTTAAAGGATTGAAAACGGGTAGCTAAATCCAAAAGCAAATTTAGCTTACCTCTTTTCTTTCAGGATTTCAGTATATAAGAGTGCATGTGCCTGGTGCTACAGAATCTGCAACAGTAAGAAATGACTTTTTGTGTAATCTATGTTCATCTTCACTTCAAGAAGACAGAAAATTTAGAGTACTTGGTGGTAAAAATGCATTCATATTTTGTAATTACAAATTTTAAAATAGTATTTAATATCTTAATGTGGAAATTAGATTGAATGTATATTCAGATAACTAATTGTTTTTTGCTATTTGCCTTAAGATAAACAGATAGTTGAAATAATCACAGCAAAGGCACTTCATGCTTTTCGAGGATATTCTAAGAACCAGCCATTTAGGTTTCAGTCTCTTACAATTTTTCTAAGAGGTAAGTAAGTTTGTGTGAACTAAAAACAAATAGATGTAAAATATATAAAATATGTAATTGACTTGTTTATAGCTATATAGTATTAATGGTACTTCTATAGCTTAAGAATCACAGGTCTTATTTTGAGTGTCTTAAAGAGTCATATTTAGCTAATGTATCAGTTATTCATTGAGTCATACATCATTCACTTAATATTAGTGCCTGCTATGTCCCAAGCACTGTGCTAAGTTTCAGGGACAAAATTATTTATGGTAATGTTCTCCCATCATTTTATGTTGTGTTTTACGTAAACATTGGAGTTATTTTATTTATTTTTTAAAGATTTATTTATTTTTTGAAAGAGAGAGGGAGTTTGTGAGCAGGGGCAGGGGCAGAGGGGAAGCTGACTCCCCACTGAGCTAGGAGACTGATACGGAGCTCAGTGTCCCCAACAGGGAGATCAGGACCTGAGCAGAAACCAAGAGTTTCGACCACTTAACTGATTGAGCCACTCAGCCACCCGTGGGATTATTTTATAATGTAAACTTCATGAAGATAAGGACTTAGTTTTTTAACTGCACATAGTAAAACCTCAATAAATATTTGTTTAAAATATGAATGAGCTGTGACATATGATTAACTGTTGAGAACTGCATGAGTAAAGACCTGTGAGCGGGCAGAGTCTGCCATGGAGGAAATCATCATCGGTATTAATTACCCAGGGAAGATTGAGTCTTCATTGAAAAGCCAGAACTGTGAAAATGAGGGTGGGGCTCAGGCTCTTTTCTTGGGCTAAAATTGGAGGAATTAAACTGTTTAGAAGGAGAGAACTTGGATGTCAACCATTTATAGGAAACTCAAGATTTAGGGAAACAGAAATTCAAACAAGAACTCTCCACTGTGGCCTGATAAGGATGAGGCAGGCATGTAAGCAGAGATGATAATAGGTCATTTTTTAAAAAGATTTTTTTTATTTATTTGACAGAGATCACAAGTAGGCAGAGAGGCAGGCAGAGAGAGAGAGGTGGAAGCAGGCTCCCCGCTGAGCAGAAAGCCTGATGCAGGGCTGAATCCCAGGACCCTGAGATCATGACCTGAGGCGCAGGCAGAGGCTCAACCCACTGAGCCACCCAGGTGTCCCGATAATATGTCATTTTTATATAGCTGTTACTGTGTGCTAGTCACTTTTACATATATTAACTCATTTAGGCACAACTGCATCAAGTAAGTTCTATTGTTATCTCAATTTTACAATTTGGAAACTGAGGCACAGAGAAGTAATTTGTCCAAAGTCACAAGCTAGTATGTAGCACAGCCATCATTCAAATTCAGGCATTCCAGCCTCAAAGTCTATGTTTTTAATTCTATTATATACTACATACAAACCCGATAATATAGAAAGATAAGTGGCTGTCCAACTTTTATTTTGGTAGAAAACCCTTTCTTCAAATAAACTCTTATATAGAACCTAAATGAATTTTAAAGATTAATTAAAAAAACAGGCCTTTTGGGATTGACATTAGAAGAAATAACCAGACTTCCCAGCCTCCTTACCTTTTTCTTGACCTTTCCTTGACCTCGAGATACATTTGCCAAACTCTGTAATTCCATGGAACAGTTGAAAAACAATTTGCTTTTATTTTCTCCTCGTAATTCATTCTGTATCCTTCAGTTAATTGTTTTTGTTAGTTTGTTTGTCAGCTGACTGGTTTGTAGTTTTTATTTTCTCAATTCTTGCGCCCAATTCTTCCCTTCCAGTCTATAGGGTATACCAATAAGCTCTGTGGAGCCAAAAAAAAAAAAAAAAAAAAAGGAGGGGTGCCTGGGTGGCTCAGTCAGTTAAGTGTCTGCCATCAGCTCAGGTCATGATCCCAGGGTCTGGGATGGAGTTCTGCATCAAGCTCCTTGCTCAGTAGGGACCTTGCTTCTTCCTCTGGCTGCTGTTTCCGCTGCTTGTACACACTCTCTCTCTCTGACAAATAAATGAAATCTTTAAAAAAAAAAAAAAAAGGCCAGAGAGAGAGAAGGAAAAAAAATGATTAAGATCACCTTTTGATCTTCTTCATGGAGAATGCTAATCCTGTCCCTCCTTTTAAGCCTTTCTTTCATAGCTTTACAACCAACCAGCTTCTAACTGTGTAATGGAAGATCAAGATTTTTAGTGTATGTTTGTAAAATAAATTTGGGGTGGGATGCCTGGGTGGATTAGTTGATTAAGCATCCAACTCTTGATTTTAGCTCAGGTCTTAATCTTGGGGTCGTGAGGCTTAAGCCCCTCATTGGGCTCCATGCTGGGCATGGAGACCACTGAAAACAATCAATCAATCAACCAATTTTGAATTTGTGCAAAAGCATTGCCCAGTCTATAGATGTGAGAAGGGAAACCTAACATACTGCAAGAAGGTAGACTTTGGAGATTGCCATATCTAGATGTGAATTTCAGTTCTGCTATGTACTGTTTAGCCTTGTACAATTTGCTTAACTTCTCAGTTTCTTCATATACAAAGCAGGAATAGCAATATCTAACAGTTTTCAATTAGATAATAAATGTAAAAATACCTGCCTATATTATAGGTAGTGACAATACCTTTTAAAATTATTTTCTTCTCAAATTATTATTTATAAGGTCATTTTTAATTAACATTTTTTATCATTTAAGGCAAAGACATTTCATTTTAAATAGGTTGATCCTGTTTTTCCTTTGTCTTAGAGGAGACTGTCTTGTTGCTTCTTAAAATTAATTCATCATTGCCTATAAATATCAAAATTTACCAGCAATGAAATTGCCTCAATTTACATTATCAGTGTTACTCTATGTAGAGATTACACACAAAAGTAAATGCTTTACAACTAACTTAAGTACTAAATTCTTACTACCTTTAGGTATTTGAACCATACAAACATGTACAAGTTTCATTTAGTGAATACATATTTTCTTTTGTGTTTAATCATCTTAGATGAATCAGTGAGTAAAATGAATATAGGAAATGAGTATAAAATTATTGGAATTCCAACCTGTGTAAAAACTTCACAAACTGCTGTTTGTATAGAGGCAAATAGTATCATTTCTTGCAACCCAAAAGGTAAGGAAATTGTTAGTATCATATATTAACAAATATTTAAATTTAAGTCCATGTGTTCAGGAAATAAGTATTTGCTCAGGAAATAACTATTGCTGGGCACTCTTCTAAGAACTAGGTGTATAGTTATAGTCAGGATAATCAAGGTTCCTACTCTTAAATCATATGGGAGACCGTCAGTAAACCTATAAACTAATCAACAAGACAATTTCAGATAATAAATGCTATGAAAGAAATAAAATGTGATAACGTAGAACCTTGCCCACAGGAAGGACTCCTTTTTTTGCCTAAACTTTATTTTGATTTTTTCATAATTAACAATGAGAAAATTGTGTCCAAATGCCAAGAGTTAGTCATTCATGAAAAGATTTTTCTACCCAACTTTTTATTTTCTAACTAAAGCAATGTTAAGCAACTTGTGGTCTGAGGAAAAAAACCAATACAGTAGCATCCTTTTCCTCATCTGAGCTGAACCAATCAAGAATAAGATAACAGAGAAAGGCAGATGGGGGCCAAAATATACCTTTGTTACTGATAATTTCCTTTAACAACTCAAACATAAATAGGCTTGAAGTAAAAGTAGAGAGCAGACCTAGTCTTAACTTGCCACACAAATAATTAAAGTAGGAAAGATTAGTTAAATCTTGAATAAAGTTAGAATTTTTTAATCACTAGATAACCATCTGCAATAATAGAGGACCAAGTTGAATTTAAATGCAAGTTGATTCTAGATACCTCTGCTTGTCTTGAAGAGAAAAGCTTCTTAAAAGAATAAAAGTATTGAAGAAAAGAAGCACAAATGAACAATAGATATTTTAATGATATTTGACATATTTTTTGCTGTGAAGTGTTTCCTGATTTATTGATTTGGTAGCAGAACATGACTTATATGTGGGTGAAAAAGTGTGCTTTCTCATGCTGCACTATAGAATTAGGCAGATTTAACCACCCAAATGTGGCAGGAGCTACACTAAAGTAGGTCTCCCTTGGTCCATGGGCTTGGATGAATAGAAAAAATCATTGCTCTGTGATGGCAGCCCCCAAGAGGAAGGAGAAAAGGACTGAGTTATGCGTGCACAGCTATTCCTCCTAATGATCAGCTGGAATAAATCACTTTTTTTTTTTAGGAGCCGGATAGAGTAAGGGAATGGGGAAGATCTAGAATGTTACAGTATAGTACAGTACAGTGCTTTCTAAGTAGTAGAGAGTAAATCTTCCTTTTTAACAGCACCATTCAAATAATTCCCATTCTGCTGTTTAGCCCTCACTAAAGGTGGTTATTATTTTAAACGTAGAAATATAGAAGCAAACACTGTAATACAGGAGCCCGCCAATCTGGCTTTGTTCATCTAGGTCTTAAAAGGAAAAGAATGAGGGATTTGCTTGCCCCCATCAAAGCCAGTCTATATGTGGACACATGGGGTAACTGCTTCCTTTTATTATATTCCCTGGGATAAAATTGAGAGACCAAAGTGACCTCTAATCATAGTTTAATATAATTTATATTATATGTATATAAAATAATTTAACATCATAAGAATTTGAATATGGTATTACTAGAAGAACTATAATTTGATAATATTTTTGATAAATGGAATTAGATATCTATAATGTCATTTTCTTGTTTTAAAACCCTTTTTAATATATGTGTTAATATTTACTTCCAGTTCCCTCAGGAATTAGCGACAATTTCAGGTATCTTCTCTCTTTGACTTCCAGCTCATGCTGGAAATTTACAGCAATACTTGCCAATATCTTTGCATCACAAATTGTTCCTCCTGGGACTTACAATTTACTCAAGCTCTGTTTGCTGATGAGTCTAGTACAGACAAGTGACCGTAACAAGGAACTGAAAGATTGCCTGGATATTTTAATTATAACAAGTGATACTCTACTTGTAGACAGGTAAAATATGTGATATGAATGTTTTCAAAGTATAAATTGGTCACGGATTTGCATAAATCCTTTCCATGAGCATTATTACAAAATAAATATTTAGAATTCAACTGGGCATTATAAATATTTAAATAAACTTTTATTAAAAAATTTCAAAACTTTTAAAACAGGAATTGATAAATTGGATATTTGCTTTCAATATTTTGAGAATCTAACCACGCAGAATTTTACCAGTTTCCCCACTCAGACCTTTACAAATAAATGCATCCTTCATAGGCTTCCTTTTCCCTCATTCCCTATTTCAGGTTCTACTTTTTTATTTGCTTTCATTTTAAAATAATCTTCCCCCCCCAAGAGCCAACAAGCCAACAGGCCATTGTCTTATTTTTCTCCAAGATTCCATTAAATAATACTGATGCACTGTATACAAATAAGTCTGTGAAAAGTATCAAAATTACTGTTTTGGGACTATCACCCTAACTTTGGAATAAACTTCTATTCAGCATTTTGGGGCTCTCCACTAGGAAGTACCATTTTTAAAATCACTTAAATGTTCAAAAGCTAGGGATAAACTTCTTATATTAATACCTTGGATGCATTTGTAAAGCAAAAACAAATTTGTAGAATGAATTTAAAATTTAAAAAATGCAAATTTAGCTTAATTGGACAGATGATGTTTTGCTAAACTTAAATTAAAATTAAATTGCAATGTAAATGTGGTACTAACTGCTACAGATTGCACCAATTTAATCTTCCACTGATGAGCATGGGAGTATTTGTTTCCTCACAACCTCACCAACACTAGGTATTATCAAACTTTTAAATTTAGCCATCGAATGGGTGGAAGATGGTATTTTATTTTAATTTGCACTTTTTTAATTGGAAGTAAGTTTTAGCATCAATCTAAACACTTCTATTATTTTTCTATGAACCTCTATTGTCCTCTTTTCTATTAAGTTGTTTATTCCTAAATGATTTGTGGTATCTCTTGTAAATTAAGGCCTTTGTCTCTTTTCCTGTTTTCATTAACCTCTGGCTTTTCCTGTGGTATTTTGGGTGGTATGAGAGATTTGGGGGGGGTTGTTTCATTTTTTAGTTAAAATTTATATATAGTGAATTAATCAGATCTTAAGTATATACCCTAATAAGTTTTGACAAGTGCATACATTGTGATAGCTAGCACCAAAATAAAATACAGAACATTTCCATCACCTCAGAAAGTTGATTTCTGTCACCGTAGGTTAATTTTCCTGTTCTCAAACTTCATAAAAATAGAATCATATAATGCATACAAAGCATATTCTTTTGGGCCTAGTCTCTTTTACTCTACACGTTTTTGAGATTGACCCAGTTGTATTTGTTAGTAGTTCATTGTTTTTATTGATGGGTAGTATTCCATTATATGAATGTACCAAAATTTGTTTATCCATTCTCCTAGTGATGAACATTGATTGGGTTTTGCATGTTTTGACTGTTATAAATGAAGCCACTGTAAACATTCCTGTACAGGTCTTTTTGTGGACATGTGTTTTCATTATCTTGAATAAATACCTAGGAGTAGAATTGCTATGTCATTAGGTAGATATATATTTAACTTTATAAGAAACTGTCAAACAGTTTTCCAAAGTGGTTATACCATTTTATATTCTTACTAACAATGTAAGATTCCAGTTGTTTCTATCATCACCAACATCTGTTGTTGTCAGTCGTTCTCAATTTAGCCATTCTGGTGCATGTGAAATGGTATCACATTATGGTTGTAATTTGCATTTTCCTGATGACTGCTGATCTGAGCTCTTTTATATGTGTTTATTGGCTGCTCATATATCTTCTTTTATGAAGTGTCTCTTAAGTCCTTTACCCACTTTTAAGGGGGATGTTCTAGATATACATCCTTTGTCACATATATGTCACATGAAATTTTTCAGTCTAAAACTAGTATTTTTTTTTCTTAAAAATGTCTTTGATGAGCAGACTATTTTGTTTTGATGAAATTCAATTTATTGGGTTTATTTAAGTTTAGTGTTTTCTGGGTTCTGTTTAAGAAATCTTTATGGGCACCTGGGTGGCTCAGTGGGTTAAGCCTCTGCCTTTGGCTCAGGTCATGATCTCAGGGTTCTGGGATCAAGCCCCACATTGGATTCTCTGCTCAGCAGGGAGCCTGCTTTCTCCCCTCTCTCTCTGCCTGCCTCTCTGCCTACTTGTGATCTCTGTCAAATAAATAAAATCTCTAAAAAAAGAAAGAAATCTTTACCTACTCTAAGGTCATGGAGATGTTCTTTTATATTTTCTCCTAGAAGCATTACAGTTCTAGCTTTTACATAGATGTGTTATCCATCATATGTTAATTTTGTATATGTTGTGAAGTAGGAGTCAAAGTTAATGTTTTCTCCTATGCATTTATACAGTTTTTCCATACCATTTGTTGAAAAGACTTTCCTTTCCTCATTGAATTGTTTTGACACCATTGTTGAGAATGAATTGAACTGGGTATAAACTAGATATAAAATTGAACTGAGCAGATATCTGTTTGGAGCCCATCACAGGGCTTGAGCCCATGACCCTGAGATTAAGACCAGAGCCAAGATCAAGAGTCGGATGCTTAACCAACTGACCCACCCAAGCGCCCCACTTGGGAGAATTTTAGAAGAAATATTTATGACTTTGGTTCACCCCTAGAATGGTTTGGGGTGGGGCTTGATACTGGAATTTTAATAATATCCCCAGGCGATTTTAATGTGAGGTCGTGTTGAAAACCACTTCTTTATAGGCTTGCATAAGTTTCTTTCTAAATCTCATTCCCCCATTTTATATATCTTCAAACTAACATCCAAATTCCTTAGAAGGCATATATACTAAAAATTTTACAGCATCTACCTATCCTTATTTAAAGAATACTATTTCATCCTCTTTTGCACTGGATGTCTGTGTCAGCTCATCATAGTTGATTGCACCAGCAAGCTATGATTTCTGTAGGAAGGTTTTGGAAGCTAAGATAATCATAATCCTTTCTTAGAATTTAAATTTGAGAAATGAAGAGGCTGAAGAAACTGGCAAAGATGTTAGAAAACAAATGTATCAAGAGTTACGACAATACATAGGCATCAGGGATAGTCATTATGGGCTACTGTCAAGCCTAAATGTGAAAATTCTGAATAAACAAAAGAAAGCAATCCATAAGGAGGAAGGCCAGTTCAAATGACATCTTTCTATAGCTTTCTCTGACTACCTTCTGGGAAGAAATAATACTCTCCTATGGATATTCTCATGAAAACATTGTGTTTTAGTTTTTTGTTTATGTCTTTCTAGGCTGTGAACTTTCCAAGTTAAGGACCATGTCTCATATATATTTTTATCCCTAGAAAAGGTACTCATTAGGGGTTGTTGCCTGGCTCAGTCAGTAGAGCATGCAACTCTTGATCTTGGGGTATTGAGTCTGAGCCCCATGTTTGGTGTAGAGATTACTTAAAAATAAAATCTAAAAAAAATGTTCATAAACCACTGACTCAAACTAAATTTAATTGCGTAGCTGTTATACATTATCACTTCTGAAAATCAAACCTTGAATAATATTAATGAGTAATTTATTTTTTCCTAGGCTTTTGAATTTTAGTATAAACCTTGTGCCCCGTGGTATACATCATCCGGTCTCTACTGAAATTTTTCCTACTCTATCCAGGAATAAGTATGGAACTGGAGCAGTTAGCATTCAGGCTGGCAGTGCTTTGCTAGCTAAAGGTGGTATCTGTTTTATAGGAGACTTGGCTTCACACAAAAAGGATAAACTAGAACAGCTTCAATCAGGTAAATAATATTTTTTTCTAATTAATTTTTACCTGTTTAACTTATAGTCTCACCAGTATCAATGAGATACTTAACTGTTAAGATTATATTGTACACATTTTAGGAATTGAGAAATTATATTAAATGACACTTCTCATTTTACCTTTATAAATAAAAAGAGAGGAATTTAATATGCAAATATACTGTTTTAGCTTTTGCTCTCAGTTATGCTAATATGTGAGTTTGTATTGGCCCAGATTTCTTTTCTTGTATTATTGTTTTAGCTAGGACTTCTACTCTGATGCCGAAAAACAGTGGTGAAAAGAGACCTCCTTGTCTTGTTCCTCATCTTAGTAGGAGAGTTTTGAGTTTGTCACCATTAAATATGGTGTTAGCTGTAGGTTTTTTTGTAGATGTTCCTTTCCAAGTTGAAGGAGTTCCCCTCCATGGTGAAGTACACATAACATAAAATTTATAATTTTAACCATTTTTAAATATACAATTCAGTGTCATTAAGCACATTCACAGTGTTATATATAATCCTTACCAGTCTCTATTTCTAGAACTTTTCATAATTCCTAACAGAAATTCTGTATTCAGTGACACCTGGGTGACTCAAGTTGTTAAGTGGCTGTCTTCAGCTCAGGTCATGATCCCAGGGTCCTGGGATCAAGTCCTGCATCTGGCTCCTTGCTCAGCAGGAAGCCTGCTTCTTCCTCTTCCTGCTGCTCCCTCTACTTGTGCTCTCTGTCTCTCAACCTCTCTCTCTGGCAAATAAATAAAATCTTTAAAAAAAAAAAAAAAGAAAGAAAGAAACTCTGTACGTTATACAATAACTCCCTGTTCTTCCCTACCTCCAGCCCCTGGTAGCCTCCATTCTACTTTCTGTTTTCATGAATTTGTCTATTCGAGAATCTCTTTTCTTATTGTTGAATAAGATTCCATTTTATATATATACCACTTTTTTTAAAAAATTCATTCGTTTGTTGAGGGACACTTAGGTTGTATCTATCTTTCGGCTATTGTGAATAATGTTGCTCTGAACGTTGGAGTCCAGGTATCTGTTTGAGTCCCTACTTTCAACTCTTGGGTGTATACCTAGAAGTGGAATTGCTGGATCATAAGTTAATTCTATGTTTAACCTAATGAGGAACCACCAAACTGTTTTCCACAGTGGCTATGCAATTTTACATTCCCACCAGTAAAGGATGAAGATTCTAATTTCTCCACATCAGTCCTGTTACATTTAATAACTAATAAAATATTTTTAAAGGAAAAAGCTTTATATATTATTATACTTAACAGCAGCTTTTCCCTTGTGTTTGATTAAGGAGCCCGGATTTTTAGACTACACTGGGCCCACATACTAAGTAGCTGGCCTTGGCTACTGGAATAGCAAAAATTAAAAAGATTGACCACAAATATTATCAAGGATGTGGAAAAACGGGAATTCCTATATATTGTTGATGAGAATATAACATAGTACAACCATTTTGAAAACTGCTCTGGCAGTTTTAAAGAGTTAAAAATATGTATTTACCTTATGACCCAAAAGAAAGATAAATATAAACAGAAGACTCTGTTATCATGAATGAGGAGAAGACTAATTTGAGAACTGTTTGGAAGATAGAATCCTAGGAATTGGATTGAATCCATAGATTGAATGATTACAAGGGGTGAAGGAAGGAAAGAAAGGAGATTATGTTGCTTCTACATTTTAATTTGGGTTTTAAGTAGTTGGATGGTGATATCCCTAATTGTGAGTAATCCACACAAAGTCATTTGAGGAAGAGAATGATGAATTTGGTTTTCAACATGTTGGATTTGAGATGTATTTTCCCCAAGTCATTGTAGTTTATATTTTCTCTCAGTCTTATGCTCTTTCACTCTTACATACAAGTCCTGCTTTATTTTTTTCTACATAAAAGAACATTGCTTAATTTCAGAACCCCCTTGTAAGCATAACCTGTATGACCCTTCTCTCAACGCTCTACCTATTTCACCCAGATACTGACCATAATTCCAGCTACATGGCTTAGACTGTTGTTCTCATCAAGTCATGGGACACATAAACATGCAAATATTTTTCTTATCTTGTTCTTTTTATGGCAGATTCTCTAATTTAACCATATCTTGCAAAACAACCGAATTTACTTGTGTCTTTACTGTCCAACATTTAGAGTGTAAAATTCTATATAATAATATTTGTTATTAATTTGTAGATATATAGGCCTAAATGAACTAAATAATAAATGGGTAATGTCTTTTGACTTAGTTGTGGAAAGCAGAAACATCACAGTATATATCCCAGGAAAGAAGTTTGGGGATGGTGTTAATCAACAAATGACTTTTCCAGTTCAGTGCAGTTTTTGGTCTTTTGTTGATATGGATTCATCTTCAAGGAAAAATATGCAGAAAACAAACACTCTAATTGGTCAGATGGTAAGGTATATGTATATTTTATTTTTAGAATGTTCAGGGAATTTAACTAGATTTTAATCTCAATTTTTTGTTGTTCTTAATGTTTTGTTATTAACCCATGTCTATCTTTAATCAGGTAGTAGAACTAAATAATGATATGATTGTTTGAAAATTTTCATTTTTTTAGTCATGCAAAGCCAGGTGTCTGTTTACTAGAAATTATTATTTGAATAGGCAGTAGAGTAGGCTTTAATGAATCATGTGTAAGAAAATAATAAAGAGCATTCAAAAACTTGGTCATATTAAGGGTGCCTGGGTGGTTCAGTTGGTTAAGAGATTGCCTTTGGCTCAGGTCATGATCCCAAAGTCATAGGATGGAGTCCTGCCTAGGGCTCCCAGCTCCACAGGGAGTCTGCTTCTCCCTCTGACCTTCTCCCCTCTCATGCTTTCTCTCACACTCTCTCTCTCAAATAAGTAAATAAAATCTTTAAAAAAAAACTTGGTCATATTAAGTTCCCATGCTACTCAGGAATCACTGTAAATAACAATAATAACAAATACTAAAATAAAAAATAGTTACATATTAATAAAATATAATAATATAAATATGTTAATAATTTAAATAATTATAAACAGTATTTAATTTATAATTATTTCTAAAGTGTTTGTGGAAATGCCAGAGTTTAATGTTTGTCTTTTACATTTTCATTTGGTGTAGGATTGCAGTTTGATTCCAGCAAATCTCCTAGAGGCATTTGGATTATTGATTAAGTGCAATGAATCATCTCCTTGCTCTCCACTTCTTTCCACTGTGCAACATACTTTAAAGAAAGCCATTGATCCTGAAGGGCAGCTTTATGTAGCTTCTAAGAAGTTCACAACTGAAGATTTTGAAAAGGTACAAGCAGAAGAAATGAGTACCAAGCATACTTGTGCTAATGTTTCTCAATTGAAATAGAACTTAGTTGAGCAGTTTTCTTTATTTAGATTTCTTTTATTCCAAGTCCCTTTCAGCTTTTAAATACTTTAAGGACTTTGTACAGAAAATATTTAGGACTATAATTAAATTAAAAAACTGTTTAAGGACAATAAATATTAAAATGTTGAGTTAATTGTTTTTACCACTGTCCAAATAGCTTTGAAAAATCTTAATAAAAAGAAAACCCAATAGAATCTTTCTATGGAAAATTATGATTAGAGGCTGTATAGGTATATAGTTATTTTCATTTTACAGACTATTCAAAGGGATTTACTTTATATAAATGCCTTCAGAGTTCTGACTTTAGAGAATACCTGTCATAACTCACTAACCCATTTCAGTGTCCTGCCGTGAAAACATGTGCAGCGTGTTCAGAGAACCTGAGAGAAGATGATGTAAATTAGCAATGATTTTTATAGCTATTAAAGGAACACAAGTATTTACAAGTGATGCTCTTTTAATATTAACTATTCAGAATTCTGGTCACTGTAGAGTTAAAGTACCTGGATAGGATAGATAAAGGGCAGGGAATACTGGGAATGGGAATCGATGAGTCATTAGAATTTTTTTTCTCACCTGCCTTCCTTGTAGGCAGATTGCATGGGTAAAAGGAAAACTGAGGCGGTCTTAAAACTGAATTATGAGCATTGTTTATTCACATAGCTTAAAACAGAAAAATAATATTTATGATACATTAGGTATTTTTGTTTGTTTTATTTATTTACTTATATTTGGGAGAGGGACAGAGGGAGAGAGAGAGAACCTTTTTTTTTTTTTTTTTAAGATTTTACTTATTTATTTGACAGAGAGAAAGAGAAAGCACAAGCAGGGGGAACAGCAGGCAGGAGAGGGAGAAGCAGGGTCTCTACCGAGCAGAGCACCTGATGTGGGGCTTGATCCCAGGACCCTGAGATCAGGACCCTGAGCCAAAGGCAGATACTTAACGACTGCACCACCCAGGTGCCCCAAGACAGAATCCTAAACAGGCTCCATGACCAACACAGAGCCCAACATGGGATGGGGCTCCATCTGACAGCCCTGAAGTCATGACCTGAACCAAAACCAAGAGTCAGATGCTCAACAGACTGAACCACCCAGGCACCCCTGTTTGTTTTAATATATAAGAAAAAGGTAGTTAGTCTCTAGGAATTTGTATGCTAAATATATATAGACATACTAATGACCAGAGAAATTTTTGCCGTTTTTCTCTGAAAATTTAACAAAAAACTCCTTGGGCTTTTTAATTAAGTCTTTACTGAATACTTTATACATATGAACCTACTTCTGTTCTTTTATATTCTCACAGAAAAATAAATCTTTAAATAGTTTGTCATTTAAATGATATAAAAACAAGATACAAGAAACCATTAGGAGACAGTTTAAGTGCTAAACTGGGTGGTGCTAACTCTAAGTACTCAAGTAGAATGCAAGAGTTCGGAAGACTCAAGGAAGTGAGACTTTAGTTGATCCTTAAGAAAAGTAAGAGTTAGATGACAGGAAGGATGGACATTTTAAACAGGAATGAAAGAAGGAGCAAAGACAAAAGTAGAAATGAATATACCTGGAAAACTATGAGAAGACTTAGTTGACTGGAACAAAAATTAGAGTCATTGGGATTAGGATTTGGCAAATTTACAATAAGCCATAAAGCTCAGGCAAAAAAAAAAAAAAAATTATAGTTGATTCATCAGACTGTAGAGAACAGTTGGACTTTACTAAGCCTGTGAAAGAGCAAAAATTATTTCTCCAAAAGATAAATCTATCCATTATACGAAACAGATTGGGTGGAGTGTGTCACAGCCTGGGCTCTCCAGGAGGCTAACCAAGATGAGTTTAGAGTGTCATTGTTTACTCAGGAGTGCTCTTTTCCTCTTCTATTAATACCTGTGGAAGGGAGGAGGAAGCAGGATTGGGCAGAGAAAGGAGTCAAGATGTGACGCAGGCCCAAAGATAAACCTACACTGAGCTCTGGAGGTAAAGAGACCCACGAGGGATTGCTTTGCTTTGGACAGAAATAGACTTTTTTGGTAGCACTTGCCCCACTTCTACCTCAGTCATTTGATACGGGCTGTCCTGAGGCATTCCCTAAAGAGGCTGACACCTGGAGGCCAATGCTGACAGTACTCCCAGGAGCTGGGAGCAAATCCTTTCCTGAAGGGAGAGACAGCTGGCACATTTCTGTGACTCCATGGGGTGAAAGCTAGAGAGGGCTACTGATATTATTAATAATGTTATTATCCACTTCTGAAGGTCTAGAGGGAACTGTGAAGTATAAGGAGAATAAAGAAGACAGAACATATCAATACAGGACATATCTAGATCCTTTAAAAAGTTGTATTTAAAATATAATATTATGGTTAATAATAACCTTAATATGATTAAATTTTCCTTTTGATTCTGTGTTGAAAAAGCAGAAAACAAACAGGATGGTGAAAAGTCTGAAAATTATGTCACGGATTAAGGATTTAAGGGACTGGGAATCCTCAGGAAAAAAAGGCAAAGAGCTCAGAGAAGACAGTGGTAATCATTATGTTGAAGCCTTGTTCTGTCCTGGAAAGTCCACCTTCACAGTGGTTAATACAGTGCCTCCCACATTAGTAGTGTTCAGCTGGAGGGAGGGCAGGTAGCTCAAGGGCCCAGGAGAGAAAGTTTTAAGGAAAAAAATTGTCAAAGAATTAAAGCTATTCAAAGGGAAATGAGCTGCTGGGGGAAGCCTCTCCCACTGAAAGGATCTAAGTGAGCCTTTTATTCCACTGGAAGCAAAGACCTGATCCTCGTTGAAATAAATTGCACAGAACATTTCTGTGCTAAGAGGGAGGAAGAGATTATTCTGGCTAAACTTTAACAGTATTTATGAGACTCTTTATAAGACTATGATTTTAAATGCTCAGTGACTTTGGGGATGGCCCCAGATATTTAACCAACTTTGATGTAAATAAAATATACAAACTTTGGATATTTGTAATATAGATTTTATAATAAAGTTTGGAAATTTCTTTTTTCTTAAGTTTGAATTTTTCACACTTTTAATTTAGCTGCTGGCTTTTGCGAAGAATTTGAATGTAGAATTCAGTTTGGAGGCAGAAAGAATGATTCATGGCTATTATCTAGCAAGTCGAAGGATCAGAACAGATTCTATAAGTGGATCAAAACTGTCAGCGTCTGCATTAAAATACTTGTAGGTATTCAATCTAAAATTTTAAAACCAGTATTGACTTTTAAACGGCGTGTTTAATTAACTTATTTATGTTGTACTTCTTTCTTTCTTTCTTTGATTGCTAGTTGTTTGATTTATAATTTACCTTATTTCAAAAGGTTTTAAGGTGATATAACTATTCCTTTTGTTATATGGTTACATCATTTGAATGTCCAATACTTATTTTCATGAAAGTATTTTTTTATTGGAATCTCTGTATGGACTAGGTTTAAGTACACTGATTTCAAACGCAAATGATTGTTTTTTAAAATGTGGCTTTTTTATGTTCAGGTACTTTTTAGTTGAGCCTAGAAAAAATTCTTTTTATTTTTTTAACGATTTTATTTATTTATTTGACAGAGAGCGCGCGCAAGGCAGCACAAGTAGGCAGAGTGGCAGGCAGAGGGGGAGGAAGAAGCAGGCTCTCTGCTGAGCAGGAAGCCCAGTGCGGGGCTCCGTCCCAGGACCCTGGAATCATGACCTTAGCCAAAAGCAGCTGCTTAACCAACTGATCCACTCAGGCACTCTGAAAAAATTTGTTTTAAGTACACTGCTCCCTGTACTTTTAAATACTTTAAAAGACTCATCTGTTATTGTTCTTAGAGAAGTCATTTTATTTCATTTTATTTTTTAAAGATTTTATTTATTTATTTGACAGATCACAAAAAGGCAGGGAGGCAGGCAGAGAGGAGGAGGCAGGTTCCCTGCTGAGCAGAGAGCCCCGCCCGGTGAGCCTATGAGCCAAAGACAGAGGCTTTAACCCAGTGAGCCACCCAGGCACCCTAAGAAGTCATTTTAAAAAACTAATTTTTATAAAAGTAAAGTATGGACACAGTAAAAGAAAAGTCCGAAATAATGAGTACGGTGTCCAGCTAACTCTACCCGTTGCTCTCCCAATCTCTAGAGAGATAATCACTGTTAACAGTTTTTTGTGTTCTTCCAAAAATTATCCATTCAAATACTAGCAGGTACAAACATATGTAATTTAAATATATGATGTATATTAAATACATACATTATTTGAATATGTTACATATTTTTAGATGAATATGTTACTTAAACATATTATATGTATAGATGGTTCCTGACTTAAGATGGTTTTATGATTTTTCAGCTTCATAGTTGTGTGTGAAAGTGGTGTGAAATGTACACATTCAATAGAAATCATACTTTGAATTTAGAATTTCTGTCTTTTTCCCAGCTAGCAATATGCAGTAGGATACTCTCTCCTACTGGGCAGCGACAGTTGGGCTGCAGTTCTTAGTCTGCTACGAGATTAAAAGGGTAAACAAATGGTACACAAACAACCATTCTATATCCTTACAGCCACTCTTTGGTTCACTTTCAGTGCAGTGTTCAGTAAATTATGTGAGATAGTCAACATTTCATTATAAAATTGGCTTTGTTTAGATGATTTTACCCAACTGTAGGCTAATGTAAGTGTTTTCAGAATGTCTAGGGTAAGCGATGTTTGGTAGGCTAGGTGTATTAAATGCATTTTTGACTTATGATATTTTCAGTTTACAGTGGGTTTATTGGGATGTAAACCCATTATAAGTTGAGAAAGATCAAAATATAAAAATCTATCTATATGAATAGATATGTAAATATCCATCTCTATATTCATATAGCTCTGTATGAGTACAGAGATATTTTCCTTTTGCCCAAATGGAATCATGAATGATTTACATATTGTATTATAATACTATCAGAACATAAGGAATTACATTATTCTGTACTGTGTTCCAGTGTGGCTGTACCATAATTTAAACAGTCCCCTATTGATAAACCATTATGTCATTTGCTATAAATTAATGTGTAATTTCAAACAAATCATAAAGTAGGACCAGGAGTAGAATAATCCGTTAAATAAATAAATAAATAAATATCTTGTTATAACTGCAATATAAAATAAGTGAAGGACTGGCAGGAAATGTCAGATACAGGTCTACAAGAGATAAATATGTTTAATTAACTTTCCTAGCTGTATATTTATCTTCATAGAGCTGAAAAAATTCCTGAAAATAAGAGAAGGTAGACATCAGCTGTCATGTTTTAAAATGGTGAATGGAATTTTGTAATGTTTGTCATTTTCCGAAGGAATATTTAAAATACTCAAATCAGGGGTGCCTTGCTGGCTTAGTTGGTGAATGATGCAACTCTTGATCTCGGGGTCACGAGTTCAAGCCCCACATTGGGCATGGAGCCTACCTAAAAAAATCATTTTTATTTTAATTAATTAATTTTAAAGGAGTTCCTTTTTAAAAGATTTTATTTATTCACTTGATAGAGAGAGGGAGCACAAGCAGGGGGACAGAAAGAGAGAGAGGGAGAAACAGACTCCCTGCTGAGCTGGGTGGGAGTCTGGCATAGGACTTGATCGCAGGACCTGAAGATCATGACCTGAGCCAAAGGCATACGCCTAAGCATCTGAGCCACCCAGGCGCCTCCAAAAAATTTTTTTTTAAAAAAGAAAAAAAAATACTCAAATCAGTCCTTAAATACTCAAAATCTTGAAAATCCTATTGTCTCATTTTTTTCCCTCTGTAGCAAAAAGATATTTCTTTAAACTCATATAGCCTCAGTTTACATTTGACTATATTGGTACAAAAATAAAGCAGAGTTAAATTCAATGTAATAACTCCACTTCTTCCCATTGTAGAAATAAACACTAGAGGTGGAGATGGGGTTTATGAAATAGCAAAGTAAATGAACTCAGAAGAGTCATAAACTTTAAATTTTTCTCCTGCTTCTTTAAACAGGTACCTAACAACACCATCCTTGCTTTTCTGGAGTAGAGCTGAATAGTACTCTCTTCTCTTTCCCTGAAGGGTCTTATACTTATTCTGTTGTGGTCAACATTTTTAGGAGGAGCTTAGGTGAGGACATCAGGAACATGATAGATCTGAAAATAAACAACTCTGGAGAGATCTCCATAGACTCAAATGATGATCTTGGTCTAACCAAGTATGAATGGATAAGGCTGTTAGTAATACTTTGAATTCAGGTTGTGTAATAGAATATAGTATCTAGAGTAAAAAAAAAGTGCTAGTTCTGCCTCACCTCTGCATTGCTGGTTAAATCACACCTGTAGTACTATACTGAAAAAGAGTATTAGCCAAATCTGGTCATGAGGAAAGTAGCCAGAATAGTGAAGGGCCTGAAAATTACATCTTACAACACAGTAAAAGAGCTAGGAATATTTTATCTTAGAGAAAAGAAAACATAGGGCAAATAGGAATGCTGTCTTTGAATATTTGAAGAGCTGTCATATTTAAGAAGTATTAGGTTTGTTTTTTAATCGCAAAAAATAAAACTAGGGACCAATGGATAGAAATTTCAGTGAAACCAATTTCAGCTTTAATTTATATAATCTTTGCGGGTGAGTCCCAAAATTTTCAAGTGCTATATTTGAAATTATAATAACTGTGAATTATTATTGTTCCCATTTTATACCTGAGCTTCAAAAAAATTCCAGAAAGTAAATGATATCTATGAAGTCACACAGCTAGAAAATTCTAAAGACTTAGCCCATGTTTTCTGATTTCCAAGCTCAGCAATCATCAAATACATTACATATACCTAATGAGAGCTTGAGGGAAATTTTTTAGGTAATCACAGGTTAATTTAAAAATAAAAGATAAAGGACTGGATTCCTAGTGAGCCCTAGGAAAAGTTCAGAAGAGACTGGACAATAAGAAGCCTAGGATATTGTAGAGAAAATTGAATTATCTAATAGGAGTCCAATTTTGAGGTCTCTTCCAAAACTAAAATTTCAAGATTCTATGAGGTCTTTAAATAGATGAAGAACTGGAAGAAAACACCAAAGATATCTATAAGAGATATTTAGTTAGGTTAATTTTCCCAACTGTGTATTTATCTGAACAGAACTTGGGGAAGAGGGTGTAGAATAATAAAAATGAAGATAAGTCAGGGTGGAAACCAAGTCTTTGATAACAAGTCAGGATATTTGCTTTTTCTGGAATAGTCTATTGAACTTAGTAGGAAAAACATGCTTTGAAAAGAAACTAAAATTTTTTAAAGTAAAAATAAGCTAATCTTTAAAGTATGGCTTTTGTACACATATGTCTTGGTTTGTTCCTGCCAAAATATATATTATCTTTATAATATCAACATATTTTGATTAGCATCTATTTTCTTTTTCAGAGTTTCCCTAGCTGAAGCCCATGCTCGACTGAACTTAAGGAGTAAAGTGCTTAAAGAAGATGCATTGATTGCAGCCTTATTATTTGAAACATCTCTCACACTGAAATATGGTAATCTATTAAATTTGTTAATGGTCACTATAAATAATTATATTTAAATATTATTAGTCTGTTAAAATAAAATGTTATATATATTTTAAATATTATTTTAAAGAATAATAAATTTTTATCAGATAAGGCCTGTTTGAATTTGAACACTTACTAATTGTTTATAGGTAGTATCATCTGTTAAGTTGCTTATTGTGTATGATTGCTTGGATATTTGAACTTTTGCAACGCTTTTAGAATTCTGTAAAAACATGTACTTAATACAACACAGGAGGTGATTTTAAATTCATCTTCCTTTTAAAATAGCATGTAACATTTAATTATCAAGCAGTCCCCCTCAATGGAGTTAGGCACATAGCTAAAGAAAATGTGATCATCTGGCATCACCACCTTTCTGAATTGCTAGCTATACTAACACTGTGACTATAGCATTTAATTATTTGAAATTAATTTGAGCTTATTATGGTTTTGCTAATAAAAACATTAAAGGGCTCTTAGGGTAAGAGTAAAGAGAGTTATTCTCACAAAGGTCTTTGTTGAATTGGATGAGACATTAATTTTGATAAAATATAACCATCCTTGAAACCAAACTCTGGTTCCAACCTTAGGAATTAAAGTATGTATTAACATTGGCTTTTCTGTGTATGTATGTTCAGTGCTTAAATTTGCCTTAAATTCAGTTTATATGATAATAACTTTTTGCAGATATTCCTTAGAACATTAAAACTTTGTTCTATAATTATCTAAATCAAGCATTCTTAACCTGAAATTCATGAATACTTAGAGAGTTCTAGGGGCTCGTGAATCTCTAAATTCTATAAAAATTTTTATGTGTATGTGCTTTATACCTTTTTGCTTAGAGAAATGAATAGTAAGTTTTATGAAGTATATCTTATAGGTCTGTGATCTCCATAAAAAGTTAATTATCATCCTGAATTAATTTTATGTACTAAGAGAGTAAAATATTGGTTTCCAACCAACCCTAAGTAAGAGGAATGATATAAAAACAGTTTTTGGATACAGAAACTAATAGATTGTGCTCATGAACTAGATTTAGAAGCTGGGACAGAGGCTAAAGGGAAGAATTAAAGAAATCTCCCAAACTTCTGCCTTGAGCAACTGAGTGAATCATGGTGCCATTTACCAAGTCTAGGAAAAAAGGAGAAGAAGGGTAGGGAGAAAAACCAAATGATAGTTACAAGTTTGAGGCATCCTACATAGGTACCAATAGACATACAAGAATCTGGAGTTTAGATGAGAATTCTAATTTAGAAATTTAATTTGGGAACCATCAGCACAGAGATGGCACTCGTAGCCATGGAATGGATGAAATCACTTGAAATCACCTAGAAAGAGATTATACTAAAAACTCCAAGGACTGCCCTTGAAGAATTTCAATATTTAGAAATGCCCTTGAAGAATTTCAATATTTAGAAATGGGGTTGATTTAGGAGGAACTAACAAAGGACACTGAGAAGTAGCAGCTAAAATATAGAAAGAAAATCACGTGTAGTTATAGAAGATTAGATTTGGCAATCTAGGGGGTAAAGTGTCTGTGATCAGAGCTACTTCAGTGGAGTGGGATTTGGGTGGGATACACACAGACAACTTTGAGATGTTTGACTCTAAAGATGAGGAAGAAAAATAGGGTATTATCCAGAGAAGGATGTGTGGTCTAAGAAAGGATAATTTTTTTTTTAAGATTTTATTTATTTATTTATTTATTTATTTATTTGACAGAGAGAGGGAGAGAGAGAGCAGCAAAGGGAGAAGGAGAAGCAGACTCCCTGCTGAGCAGGAACCCCGATGTGGGACTCAATCCCAGTACCCCAGGATCATGACCTGAGTCAAAGGCAGATGCTTAAGCCACCCAGGTCCTAGTTGGGTTTTTTTTTTTTTTTTTTTTTAAGAATAAATAGATCTGGGGCGCCTGGGTGGCTCAGTGGGCTAAAGCCTTTGCCTTCAGCTCAGGTCATGATCTCAGGGTCCTAGAATCAAGCCTTGCATCCGGATCTCAGCTCAATAGGGAGCCTGCTTTCCCCTCTCTCTCTCTGCCTGCCTCTCTGCCTGCTTGTGATCTCTGTCAAACAAATAAATAAAATCTTAAAAAAAAAAGAATAAATAGATCTTATGATATGCAATAAATAGGGAGTAAACAAATGACACTACAGAACTGGGGGAAGATCAAAGGAGTAAAATCCTTAAAAACGTGAGAGAGGATGGGATCCACAGCACATGTGAAAGAAATGGCCTCTAATAGAAAAGACAGTTCATTTTAGAGGAGGGAAGACAAATGGATACAGAATTAGTTCTGTAGATTTGGTCATATACTCTACACAAGGTCATCAGCTAAAACAAAATGTTTGAGGAGAGAAGAATGGAATATAATAGTCATGTTGTGGGGGACAGTTGTGCTAGACAAACCCAGCAGGGTTGTCTGGCAGTGCAAGTTCCCATCCAGCTGACGTTTCTGTGGTTCATTTAAAGTGAAACCAAGAAATGCCAATTAGGTGATTTTCTGCCTAGCAGCCCAAGTGCAAGCATAAAGCAAATGTGCTCGTGCAGAGTTGAGTTTTAATATTTGAGTGTGACAGAGTGTTGTAGAGGGGCAAAGAAGTTAGGGGACTGGCTTGGCAGAGATTCTTCCTTTAAAAGAAGGAAGTGAGGGACACCTAGGTGGCTCAGTTGGCTAAGGTGCTGCCTTCAGCTCAGGTCATGATCCCAGGGTCCTGAGATTGAGTCCTGCATTGGGCTCCTTGCTCTGCGAGGAGCCTACTTCTCTCTCTCTGCCTCTGCCTGCCACTCTGCCTGCTTGTGCTCTCTCTCTCTGATAAATAAATAAATAAATAAAATATTAAAAAAAAATTTTTTTAAATAAGTAAGTAAATAATTAAGAGAAGTGAATTGAAGAAAGCTGATTAGAGGCCTTGGAGATAAAAGACCTGGAAGCTGGAAGTATAAAAGGTAGTGCAGGGAAGAGGGACATCTGAACTAATGGTTTTGAAGTAAGTTTTTGGTGATCAGTTTCCTGTGACCTTCCTATGCATAGTGGAGGTAGAAGGGAAAAGGTCAAGACTGGGAGGTCTGAAGTTAAAGAAATAATTCACATGGAAATCATGGAAAGGCAAGCATTAGGGAAGAGAGGAGATTATGAGCCTTGTGCTGAGAACTGGTTGATGACTTTACCATGGAAGAGAAATGGTAATAAAGCCAGGTGGCACTAGACATTAGAGGAAAGATTTTTATTCAGAGAAAAGCAGGGTTGAGAATGGTCTGGTCTTGCTACAGAGGGGCAGCAAGTTAGGCACTGTCTCTGTCTTGTGATAGTAAGGTATGAAGTGTTTCGAGAAAAAGCGGCTTCATCTGAGACAGCCACGGGGAGGAAAGCAGTGTCTCAAGGGACAGCAAAGATTCAGGTAATATAAAGGAAGTAGTAAAGGGAACAGTCACAGAAGTCTGAGGCTACAGAAATCTGAGGCTATATAATTGTTAATTGATGACAGACGGCTCTAGGAAAAGTGGCACTCTCTGCTTGGCTACCCACTCTACATCTGGCCAGCCACAGTGTGACTATTCACTGTTCCCTGTTCATTCAATGAATCAACAACGAAACAGAATTTAAGAGCTTAATTCCTACAGTAACAGCCAGTTCTTTTTTTTCTTTTAAATTGTGGTAAAAAAATATCTAACATTTACTATCTTAACCATTTTTAAGTATACAGTTCAGTGGTGTTAAGTACATTCACACTGTTGATACCATCCTTCTCTATAACCTTTTCATTTACCCTAACTGAAACTCTGTACCCAATAAATAATAATGCCCCAATCTCCCACTCCCCCAGGCCCTGGCAACCACCATTCTTTGTATTTTTATAAATTTTGACTTCTCTATGTACCTCATATAAGTGGAATCATGTGTTTGTCCTATTTTGTCCTGCTTGCTTCACTTAGTATAATGTCCTCAAGGTTTATCCATGTTGTAGCATGCATTAGAATTTCTTTCTTGTTCAAAGATTGAATATTCTAGTGTATGTGTATATGTATGTATACACACACACACACACACACACACACACACACACAAATTTTCCTTATCCATTCATTGAACAACGGACCTTAGATTGCTTTTGCCTTTGGCTATTGTGAATAATGCTATTAACCTGAGTATACACTTACCTCTTTGAGACCTTGGTTTCAAATCTTTTGGGTATATATCCATAAATGAAATCACTGGATCATATAGTAATTTTTTGGATAAAACACCATACTGTTTTCCATAGGGTTGTACATTTTACATTCCCAACAGTGCACAAGGACTTTGCCAACATTTCATTTGCTTTTCTTCACAAACTTAACATTTGCTTTTTTTTTTTTTTTTTGTAGTGGCCATCCTTATGGGTGTGAGGCAGTATCTCAGCATTTTCCTAAAGTGATGTTGACCATCTTTTCATGTTGCCTATTGGCTATTTATATATCCTTTTTGAAAGAATGTCTGTTTCTCTTTTGCCCATTTCTGAATTGGATTGTTTTATTCTTGTTGAGTTGTAGATCCCCTATTAGATATGATTCCCAAATATTTTCTCCCATTCCATGGGTTTCCTTTTCACTCTGTTGATTATAATGTTTGATGCACAAGTTTTTTATTTTGAAGTAGTCTGATTTACCAGTTTCTTCTTGTTCCCTGTGCTTGTAATGTTGTATTCAGGAAATCACTTTCAAATCCAATGTCAAGAAGCATTTCCCCAATTTTTTTTTTAGTTCTTATGTTTTAATCTGCTATAAGGTAAGGGACCAACTTCATTCTTTTTTATGTGGATATTGTTTTCCCAGTACCATTTGTTGGAAACTGTCCTTTCCCCATTGGTCTTGGCACCCATATAAAAAATCATCTAACCATATATTTGAGGGGTTATTTTCAGGCTTTATATTCTATTCCATAGGCTGATGTCTGCCTTTATGTCAATGGTTTTAAATAATTGAAAAACATACAATGATGTATTAATCCTCATCCATTTAACCTTTATCAAAGTGTTTCCATACCTTCTAATACCTTTTCTCCCTACTTCTTCCACCTCCTCACATCACTACTCAGGTTCAAAACTGTAATGACTACATCAACAGATAACAAATTTCTGTAGTTTCTGAACTTTAAAATGTAATCGTTATTTCTTCTTGGCACTGGTAAGTTTGTGCATGTACTGAAACTATCTCACGAGTCTCAAAAACAGGTCAGCTTTAAATGATTATTGAAATATTCTAATAGGTCAGAACTTAATTTTATAACATACTATTTTGTTGAAAAACATTTAGCATTTGAAGGAATTCTCATTAACACTTTTTTTTCCTTCTTTACTTAGGGGCCGCTGTATTTTGTGTTGCTCCAAATGCAGTATTTCCTTTTGAATTGTATAATGAAGAGTATTTAGAGCAAAGGGACATCTATCTGACTCAGTGCCAACAGCAGCTCCAACAGTTTATTACCACATATGGACCTGGGACACCTCTTTTCACTAGCGATGAATAGCCAATCTCAGGATATTTTCTTCATATTTAAGCAGTATAAGTGTGATTTTGAAGTAATGCTTCTGGTAATACTATGTATAATAATACATTAGAATGCTATCCTAAATGTATGAAATATGGTCTCAATATGAAAAACTTACAAACCAAGCAATGTTAAAAAAATCACTTTTATGTAATTCCCTCTATTTGTCACAAGATGGCAACAACACTTTAAATGAAAATATTTACCTACAAGTCATTTTAAACCATTTTTCATGTACCTGTGAACTGGACAAGAGCAATTTCTATAAACAGAAGCCTCAAATTTAAGATTTCATACTGTATTATATACTGTTATGTCCATTATATCATTTTGGAAGCCCTAAGTATGGAATAAGGGAAAGCTTGGATATTCCCCATTTTTTAAGCCAGGTTAAATGAAAAAGTAATTTAAATCAAAGGGCAAGAATTGGCTCTTTAAACCTAATTGGTTACAGGAAAGGTACCAAAAGGCAAAGAAACCAATCTGCAAACCCTTTGTTTTTGGAGGGAAAAGATCTACTCTGAAAGGTGGGGCAGGGGTGGGTTGGGGAGAGTAAGACCAAGAAAATATGCTTAACTTGTAAAATCCCCAAATCCTTTTCATTTTTCAAAGCTTAAGAGAAATTATAAAATAAAATTTTAAAAATATATATAAAATAAATAAATCTTACTGAAAGGAAAATGTTATTACAAAATTGCCAAAATTTCACCCAGATACTACCATGCTGATTCTTTAGAAACTGGTACCTCATGGAGCTTTTTAACCATAAAGATGGGACAGGTTTCTCTATGGACCTTTGACAAATCATTCAAAAATAGTGAATATACACTAGTCACAGATACTCCTGTTTAGAAAGCAAAGCTAGTTTTCAAAAACAATTTACATATTGAAGTTCTGTAATTCTAATTAAGACCTTATTTTGTGGCATCTTTGTTGCTATACAGGTTTTGTACTGTTTGACTTGCCATATTGAAATTGTAACTTGGATAAAGGCAGGTCATTATATACTGTGGGACTCAAGAGGGGAAAAGCAAGATTTACCTGAACCTCCAGTTAGGAATTGTTTTAGAATTTTTTTGGAAACTTTTTACTTATTTGAGAACAAACATAAAAGGGGCGTGAGAGGAAGCAGCAGACTCCCCGCTTAGTAGAGCCCAATGTGGGACTCAATCTCAGGACCCTGAAATCATGATCTGAGCCAAAGGCAGACACTTAACCAACTGAGCCACCCAGGCAGCCCCTAGTTTTAGAATTCTTGTAAATCCTCAAGTACTGGACAGACTGGACAGTCGTCCAATCACTATTTTCCTTAATGTAACATTATTTGTTCTAGTAATGGATCAGAATTATTTTTTTCAGAGCAATTGATTTTTTTTTTAAATTTTATTATTAAGATTTACTCATGAGCGAGAATGAGGGAGGGGGAGCAGAGGGAGAGGAGAGCCTAAGCATACTCCATGCTCAGTGCAGAACCTGATGCTGGGTTTTATCTCACAACCTGAGAAGAAACCAAGAGTCAGATGCCCAACTAACTGCACTGCCTAGGTACCCCAGGGTTACTCTTTTATTTACAGATAAAAAAAACAAGATTTAAATTTTAAACAAATTCCACAGGTCATAAGGCGATTCCAAAATACTTGTTTTTTAGGTATAATAGCAGGTTCTGGGGGAAACCTTATGGTTATCTAGTTTGCTGAAATCCCCTAAGGCAAGAAAGGGCAGGAGAACTGGAGGTACTAGAATGTCTCCCTGGGTGACTGCCTTCTCAAAGGGAATCATCCACAAATGAGCTAGTTATTGACAAGAACACAGTATCCTTAAAGGATGTTAAAAACAAGTCTGACTAGTGATTATGAAAATGGAGCAGTTTAGAGATACTTAAAAGGTAACAGGCATTACTGACCAGCAATTACAAGTACTCAAAGATGTATTTTTCTACATCATTTATTGTGAGGTGATCAATGTTAAATAAAATATTAATTTTATTATCTGTTTCAATTCATGTCTTCTTGACCAATTCTTCATTTTTCCTTCCAACTGCATGCCTCTAGAAAAAAAAAATCAGAAACCAATAGTGAAAATCATTCCCTAGTCAAGAATCAAAAAGAAACCATACTTCTGACATACACAGGCAATTTTAACAGGAAATGGCGCTAGCCCACTGGAGTTTCAGATACTTTTGAATTATTAATAGCTGTGATTACTTGACAAATTATAATTACTTACTTGAGGCAATGAATTTTAACCATGACAGTTTTGGACTTGAATATTCATCTGCAGCTACCTATACGATGAAAAGAACATTTCACCCATTTTAATTAAAAATTGCATTATACTTGTGTAATTCACCTCAACAATATAGGTTACTGGCATCTCAGTCTTAAAATTATTTCTTCAAAGAAACCCTCAGCTGGGTAAACGGCAAAAAGTAATTTAAGTCATCATTGTGCCAGCTTTAATTTAAACCTATGTCAAAAATGTATTAAACATAAAAAAAGCACACAATTAACACTAAAATTTGGTACCTCATTACGTGCAGTTGTGCTAGTGGTTTTATCACAGCCATCCTGTAAGCAGTTTCTGGAAAACATCAGGATGACCTTCCTTCATCTTCACCTCATAGGCTCTGCTGCACCTGGAAATTAAACTATTTTGAGTTCTCATTTGTACTTGCATCCATTTGTTTGGCATCTAATATGTAAAAATGGTCCAATAAGATTTTTTCCTTCTTGGGACGCCTGGGTGGCTCAGTTGGTTGGACGACTGCCTTCGGCTCAGGTCATGATCCTGGAGTTCCGGGATCGAGTCCCGCATCGGGCTCCCGGCTCCGCGGGGAGTCTGCTTCTCTCTCTGACCTTCTCCTCACTCATGCTCTCTCACTGTCTCTCTCTCAAATAAATAAATAAAAATCTTTAAAAAAAAAAAAAAAAAAAAATTTTTCCTTCTTATCAGGAACCATAAATGCAGTAATATTTGCAATCTTCCTGACTCCCAACTAACTTAATAAAAACCACGTATTTTTCCATATAGTGAAAAAATTTTCTGTTGTTTAACACACCTCTAATGAGCAAAGTATTTTCTGATTCTTTTTTTCACAGTCAAAACAGATAAACCCCAAATTTAAAATCTCTATAATGATTTGAGCATTTTAGTATTTTTGACTGTTCGGGCCCTATTAATTCTATAAATGATCTTTCCAAGCTGGAAATGGGTTTATTAGCATGAACAGGAAAAATGGTGGATACATATGATGGTTCTTTACTGTGGTAGTATCGATTTTAAGACATGATGGTCCTAATGAGTACCTGGCCATTGCTTTTCTGTCTCAGAGCTTGACAAGGATGAGATATGAATCAGGTTAAAGGTTAGATATATAAAAACAAGTGTGCAGACCTCCAACCAAAGCATCACAATGGCAAATCTAATATAGTTTTACAGCAGATACATTATGTTGGCATCATTATTGGGACAGTCTTGTGGAATTAAGTCCCAGGTTGCCTGCAAGCACACTTAGGCAGTGCAAAGGGAATGGCCAGGACCACAGATCATATCCCACAGCACCCCAGGAGGATAAATCATTGAACCAGACAGCTACTGGAAATGATTTATGAAGACACACCAAATGCTGGACCTTGCAAAACAATTTATCATTTTCAAGTCTGGAAATAATTTCACATAATCAATATTAGGAACACAAACTATTAGTTATGAATAATTCCAACTGGAAAATTTCAGTGTAATGAGATTCATGAAAACTATTGACAACTACATGCATAATCCCATCTGTGTAGCCTCTAAGAATGTTTAGAGATAAACGTATCTGGAATGAAACTATCTGTCCCACTCAGCTCAAAAAGCGGAGCGACAAAAAACCCAGATAACAGCGTCTCAGCATGGAAGGCAGGAGAATGGGACGGGAAAGAAATGAGATGCTATTGTATTGGTAAAATCACAATTAATGGTTTGGTACCCTCTGTATTTATTATGCTTCAGGAATTACCTACATTATCAATATTTTTACCAAACATTAGACTGAAAAATTTTTTAAAATCCCAATATTTATCAATAAAAATTGGATTCAAGCCACTTAGGCCTCAAAATAATGACTAATACCAAATATGAACTATTTTGCAGCCATCACAGTTGCCTTGTTGTCAGCAACGTATTTGGAGAGGGAACAACAAACCACAGGATTTTACCAAGTCTCGTCGGAGAAGTATTCATTAATAACTTGTTTTTGAATAGGCAGCATTTTTCCAGTCTCCTAGCGGCTGACCTGGTTTCTTCCCTCTTAGGTCCAGAAATACACATCTTTATACAAACGCAAACATCTAAGGGTAGAGCAGGCATTTATGGCCTGTGGGGCGGGGGCGGGGATCTATACAGTACGTGTTCTCCAACTTCAACACCACGTCTCTGGCCTATCTAGAAAGGAAGACTCACAAATGCGACTACTTAACTGTACTAAATCCCTACCAGAAATGTTCCTAAACTGTTAACAATTTTAAATGCTAATCACAAAGTATAGTTAAATAAAGGCTGTCCTAACTTCCTGGAGCTAATCCCTTCCCGATTTTACAAAATGCTCCCTTACTAGGGGTAAATACGCAGCCCATTTAGCGGACCTTAAAACCGTCTAAGCTGCACACAAGGCTTTGCAGGAGATACAAAAGGGCTCCGGAGAAGGGCCGGGGGGAGCACTAAACCTACCCGCCGTACCCTCTACCCACCTCGGAACGACCTGAATCTGAGAAGACGCTTTTTTTAATTCTTGAGGTTAGAACAGTTGAAGCCAGGGTTACTAAAAAAAGAGAAGGGTCAGGTTAAGAGTCGCGTCTGGTTGCTCAAAAAATGCGACAGAGCCAACGACAGGGAAGTAAGCTTCAGCCGCGTCCACTTAGCGGGGGGGGGGGGGGGGGGGGGGGGGGGAAGGCTGCCTCCCCGGCCGACCATTCCGCTGAGCTCCGGCAAGGGTCAGAAGCCCTAGGCGCGGGCACCAAAGGTCAGAAGACCTGAGGCAGGCATGGCTTGCGGCACGGAATCAGGTTCCCGGCAGGAACAGCAGGAACTAAAACCGCGAGGACTCCCACCTCGAAGAGCCCTGCGACTGGCGCTCAGACGCTGCCACCCGGCCCGCTTGGCCGACGGGGCCCCGCACACCCTCATCCTTCGCTGGCCGCGCGGAAAAGAAAGCACAGCTCCTTCCGCCGCCCTTTCGGCCCTCCGGGCCCCGCCTCTTCCGGTGTTGGCCCCGCCCCTGTTTGGGGCATCTGCGGGGGCGTTCGCCCAGCGGCGGCTCAGAGCTGGGGTTGGTTTTGCGGCCCCAGTACCTGGCCAAACGTGTGGCGGAGCCGAGAGGTCTGGCATCTCCGCCTGCGGTGAAGTGCCACAATGTAAGTTCATACTGGGGGGACTTTTGGAACTCCGTAGAGGCTTTCAGGGCGCACGAGGACTTCACGTAGACCGATTTCACTGAGCATGCAAATGTTTAATCTCCCAGTTTATAATGGGCCGAAGAGAGCGGAAAATGCTACAGAATGGAAGGGTCTCCCATTCCTAGTACAATATATTTGCTTAGTCTTCTACTCTCACACGTAGTTCAGTGCGTAAAAAACTGGTGGTATTGGACATCCCAATTTAGCGTAAGGATCTCTCTCTCTCATTCGCTCCCTGGAAATAAATAAATAAATAAAATCTTTAGCAACAACAGCAAAGAAAGAGAATATATTTATCACCCCCAAACATTTTCTCATGCTTCTTTATAATGTCTCTTTCATGCCCTCCAAACCCCTCCTGCAAAACCCATCCCCAAACAACCACTGACTTTCTTTCTCTCACTATACATCAGTTCGCATTTTTCTATAATTTGCTTAAATGCAATCGTATACTATGTACTCTCTTATTTTTAGAGTAGGGGGAGGGCAGAGAGACGGAGAGGGAATTTTAATAAATTAAAATTTATTTTAATTAATTATTTGAGAGTGAGGAAGAGCTGGGGGAAAGGGGCAGATGGAGAGGGAGAGAGAGAATTTCAAGCAGTTTCCCTGTGGATCATGGAGCCCAAGGTGGGCCGGGGGGGCCGCTGGATCCCATAACCTGGAGATCATGACCTGAGCCGAAAGGGAGAGTCAGATGCTTAACTGATTAAGACGCCCAGGTGCCCCAGTATGTACTCTTTTTTTGTTGGCTTCTTTCATTTAGCATAATTATTTTGAAGCTCATCCATGCCATTGTATGTAACAACACTTAATTCCCTTTTTAGTGCTGAATAATTTTCCCGTATTTGGATTTACAGCTATTTGTTTATCCATAGACCCATTGATGGACATTTGGATGTTTCAGTGTTTGGCTATTATAAATAAAGCTGCTATGAATATTCATACAAGACTTTGTATGGACATGTGCTTTTATTTCTCTTGGGAAATAGCTAGGAGTAGAAATACCTAGGAGTAGAAATACCTAGAAGCTGCATTTTGTGATAGGTGTGTGTTTAATGTTGTAAGAAACTGCCAAACTGTTTTCCAGAGTGGTTGTAGTATTTTTCACTCCCATCAACAGTGCTTAAGAGTTCTGGTTGTTTCACATTCTTGTCAACACTTGATTTTTACTTTAGACATCCAAATAGGTATCTAGTGATATGTCACTGTGCTTTTAATTTGCCTTTCCCTGAAGAATATTGAGCATCTTTTAAAATGCTTATTTGCGACCTGATATCATTTGCAAGTATTTTCTCCCAGTCTATAACTTGTTTTCTTCATTCTTTTAATAGTGTCATTCAAAGAGAAGTTTCATTTTGATGAAAAACTATTTATTACTATTTTTTAAAAGATTTTACTCATTTATTTGACAGAGAGAGATACAGCAAGAGGGGGAGCACAAGCAGGGGAAGAGGCAGAGGGAGAGAGAGAAGCAGAGTCTCCATTGAGCAGGGAGCCTAATGCAGGGCTTGGTCCCAGGACCCTGGGATCACGACCTGAGCTGAATGCACATACTTAACGACTGAGCCACCCAGCGGCCCCTTAATTTTTTTCTTATAGGGATTTGGCTTTGGCTGTTATGTCTAAGAAACTTTACCTAAGTCAAACTTCTGGAAAGTCCTCTTCCCCCTCCCCCAACCAGAGACGAGCTCAGTTATTCCTCATGAGAATAAATATGCCCTTCTCAGGACACAGATCACTCTACCAGGCTCATCAAATGACTGTTCCTATCCAAGATTCAGAGCTATGTCTATATAAATTATGTCATGAATTTTGACCCAGTAAGCCCCCTTGACTCTTGATTTTGGCTCAAGTCATG